ATGTGGAGTTGAGAAGGTGGAGTTGAGGGAGGTGGAGTTGAGGATGTGGAGTTGAGGGAGGTGGAGTTGAGGAAGGTGGAGCTGAGGGAGGTGGAATTGAGAAGGTGGAGTTGAGGGAGGTGGAATTGAGGAAGGTGGAGCTGAGGGAGGTGGAGTTGAGGGAGGAGGAGGTGGAATTGAGAAGGTGGAGTTGAGGGAGGTGGAGTTGAGGAAGGTGGAGCTGAGGGAGGTGGAGTTGAGAAGGTGGAGTTGAGGAAGGTGGTGGGGCCAAAGCAAGCCAAGCCCCTGAGGCCTGCATGTAAACGTCAGGGAAGGCTGAGGGGGTGACAGAGAGGGAGAAAGGGTCTAGGCACCAGCAAGGTGAGGCAGCAGGTGGGGAGATGAAGGGAGGAAAGGAGGATGTGAGCTGAGCTACATGGAGGAAGACTCCATGGCCACCTGTAGGCATGGCAATGAGGGGCAAGAGAGGATGCCACTCCTTTTAGTAAAGGGCTGAAGGGACATCTAGGTTTTAGGGTGGCCAAGAAAGAGGGTCCGAGCAGGAAGGTCTGGGGGTTCCTTCCCTGCACAGTCTGAGGCCCAGGCCCCTCCACAGCATCCAGCCAGGTGTGCTGGGAGGCATCTGCATGATGTCATCCAAGTCCAGGATTTAAAATAGAAATGAGGCTGCATGGAAGCTTTGCTTCCCAGGAATCCAAAGGCCATATTCTCTTAAACTCTCCCAGCCTTTCAGGAAGGTAGCAGGCTGCCAATTCACAAGAGAAAGGGCACCTGGGGGTGTGAGTGACAGAAATGGGACCAGAAACGTCCCTGACGTCTTAGCGCCCTTAGCATCTTAAACCTTTAGAAGTCTTTATATGGTGATCATGTCTGAACAGAGTTCCTGGTAGATGTTTTCATCTCAAGGTATCATGCACAGAAGGCTGAAAACCGAAGAGGTCCCTCTGGGCATCACCAGGGACAAGGAGGCAGAGCCAGCAAGGCCCTTTGTTCTCATTACTCCTGTCCTATGTGGAATTCTCCAGAAAAGAACCACAATACAGCATTGACAGAACTGCCAGAGTCTCAGAAGCCCAGCCAAGCAGAGGGTATTTACTGCACTTGTGTATTGATGGAAATAGCATAGACACTCCCCAAACAGAGAATCATTGCTTTAGGCTGTTAAATATGTAAACCATTATTTTAAAGGCATCTGTAATCTTTCCACAAGTCAAATTTCTGGACTTCTAATAGATAACTTAAAAACTCCAGACATAAAAATATAAATGGGTAAAATGCAAGTTGATACCATATAAACTATTAAAAAGCCAAGAAACTAATACATTCTAAAAACATTTGTCAAGAAACAGTTTACAGTTTATTTTTTTAATACAGAAAATATTTCCTTAAAAGCAGTGTACCTTTTCCCAGAAACAGTCTCTATGTAGAGGGCATACAGTTTGAAGGCCGATTATTTTAGCATGAAAAGCGATTGTATGAAGAGAAATCGTGCGTGTGCCACCCCAGGAGAAGTGGCATTGAAGCAGAACAAGCAGTGATGGGCGGGTCTGTGTCCTTTCCTACATAGAACAGCAAGAAGTACTTTGAAATATACCTATTTTTCTGTAGGGGAATCTTGAGTGAGTTATCTCGTCTTTCCTGTTTTGTTCTTGTGGAGAGAGAACAGGCAGCAGAAGCCAAGATCTCCCAGCGTCCACTTGGGCAGGAGCCTGAGCAGCCAAGGTCTTTCCCAGGGTGGCTCTGCTCTGACTCATCTCCAGAGTGAGCACCATATTTTCCTCCCAAGAGTGGTGTCAGGGTAGTTTTCTGACTGATGTTTGTGGAAGATCAAGTTTCCCTTAGTCTTCAGGCAGTGAGTGGGGATCTGCTAGTCCCAGCCCACCACCACGTGAGCAATGAGCAGGTAGCACATCCCCACGGTACAGGACACCACCATCATCGGGAAGCCCAGTCTGGAATGCAGAGAGGGAGACCGGTTATGACATCGCGCATCTAGGAGCACCATACGGGCTGGTTTTTACAACATGTTACTCTAAGAGAATATGGCCTTAGGATCTCCATATACACACAAAGTTCATCACTTTTCATTCCTAGAAATCAGAAGTTGGTTTTAGCCTGGGTCGTATGGGTGCATGCTTCTGCTAACATCACTACTGGATGCAATTTCATGTGAGAACTGTTCAGCATTTTTCCCATTGTTAAAGGGTGTTTGCAGCCTCCATTCACAGCATGAACAGGCCAGCCTTTCCTCACTGTCAATGTTGAGTGCAGGGCTACTCTAAATCTCTGGATGTTTCCTGCAACAGTGTCATCTTCCAATACACCTTCTCTGAGGAATTCCCACAGAGGTCACATTCCTGCAGACTCCCAAAATCCTTCATATTCAAAGCTGTGGGGAGCTTAAGAAGTAGGTTTGGAAACTAAGGCTAGGTCTTTCAAAGGAGGTAAGAGGGAAGACTAGGATTCTCTTGGGCACTGGAGAGGTGGAAGACGTGTGCCCAAGTAAGCACCAATACGACAGTTGTGCTTTGCTCCTGTGAATTCATACCCTGGCCTACAGATACTGACAGATTCCCATCAGCATTTGGAATCTGAGCTCTGCAGCCACTATTTAGTTCTGCTTTGTCACTCAGAAAGGTCCCTGCGCAGATTACAGTTTGGGTTTCAAAAGGCTTAAAATTTCAGGGAAAGGTAGAGTTCAAGAAAGAAATCCATCAACAAGAACGTTGTGTGTGACAATCACGAGGCCCATGGCAATCTCCCTTCCTGGCTGTGTGTTTGAGGAAAAGCCCCTCAGAAAGAGCAGAGGTCTCTCTGCAGAGCCGTGAGAGAGCCTGAAGCCACACACCTGAGTGAAATAGCCTTAAATTCTACAGTAGACACAGGCATTTCAGCAAGGTAGGAGGATTATCTTCATTTCTCTTCTGAACACCTTTTATTTTACGAAAGAAAGAAGGAAAGGAAGGAAGGAAGGGAGGGAGGGAGGGAGGGAGGGAGGGAGGGCAGGCACATGTAACAGATTTCAGAAAAATGATTTCAATTTTTTAAAGCTTTGTGAACTTGGTTTTGAAAACAGCTAAACATGTTTGTAAAAAGTCAGCCTTTTTTATTGAATTCTGGAGAAACACAACCCATGGCTGAGTCTGATCAATTCCAGGCATCACAAATATCATCGCCAGCCTTCATAGAGACAAGCATTTGTGCTGCTGTGACAGATTGTGTAGAACAAGTCAATCTCAGGTAAGATGTTGAACGCCTCTGCTGGGGCTCTGAGACTGTGCTCCAGAAGCAAATCTGCCTTGCCAACTGTGGATCCCACAAAAAGCAGAGCTTGTCCCTGAGGAGTCCAAGCCTGAAGGAAACTCCTTATGGATGGGTTTGGATGGATTTCTGTTCCCAAGTGAGATCACTGGTGTCTCAGGATGCCCCCACCCCTGAGAAGGCACATCACCCAGGCACTGATGCCAGAGTTCAGACTCCATCAGAAACACACAGTTCCTTCCCAAGTCTAGACACTGTGACAATCTCTACACACATGAGGACTGTGTGAGTTCACACCTGCCAATCCCTGAGAACAGTGCCCGGCCACATAATGAGCCCTCAACAAGGGTGAGCCACATGCTCCTTGTTGGGGCATGAATTGTGTTTAGTGGTAAGGAATTCAACTATGCAAATACTTGAAGGGTTTGTTGGAAAAGAGAGAATGTAACCATTTTACTCTCAAACTAAAAGCTATACAAATATAACAGGTTTCTAGTTCTGGAGCAAGATGAAATTAATGCATTTCTTCTTATCCCCCTGCTAAATGCAGCCAATAAGCAGTGCATAAAACAAATATAGGGAGTTGGAGAGCTGACAGCACATCAGCTGAGGACTTCAGAACCCTGAAAAATGCCATGGCAGTGAATATCCTTTTTGTTTCCCCTCAGACATCCTAGTGCTTGGAAGCCAAAGAGTGGGAAATGTCAATGGATGGTAGACAAACAAAACAAAAACAGGCAGAGGAGGAGACAGACTCCTAGATAATAACTATGCTGTTCCTGTCAAATACCACAGGGAAAAACTTTTTAAGGTTGTAGCCCACCCCGAGCCCCTTGGCAAAAGCCAAGCCGGGAACCAGGACTTCCAAGCCCTCCTGCCTTCTCTCCTGTAGTGTCAGTGAGGACCACGTGGGGATACCAGAATTCTCCCTCATCTGGAGGGAGAGAGGTCCTCTTTCCCTTGGGTATGGTGGTTTCAAAGGAAACCTAGTAGGACACCAAGACTTTTATCACCTTTCAGAAGCAATAAGGCCTCACTCCCTCCCCCTAAATGTCAGCAAGTTGAAGGTCACATGGAGAGAAAAATGCCCCTGCCCTCTATGTGGTAGGGACAGGGACCTGCTGAGGACCCACATTCCCACCCTGCTTGGCAGTAAGGGGTTTCCCCACATACTGACATCAACAGAGGCACCGGGGAAGCCTGGACTTCCAATCCCACCCAGAAAAAGTGGGGAGATGGCCTCCTACCCCACTAGCATGGGGTCAGAGGAGGTCTGCAAAAATGTAAGGCTTACATGAGATCCATGTGTCATAACACATTACTGAAGATGTGAAGGATGTGATGGAAAATCTCCCATCATCCTAAGAACCAGCAATGTTTTAAGTTGAATGAGAAAAGATGATCAACAGTGCCAACACTGATGTGATAAGGTGTTAAAGTTACATGACAAGGAATTCAAAACAGTCATCATAAAAAGTCTTCAGCAAGCAATCACAAACACAATTGAAACAAATGAAGAAACAGAAACTCTTCAGAAAAGAAATATAAGATATAAAGGAGAACCAAATGGAAATTTCAGAAATAAAAACAGAATGGAAAAATAAAACAAGCAGAAGGAATTAAATAATAAAGATAAGAGCATAAATCCATGAAATTAAAAACAGGAAAACAGTAGAGAAAATCAATAAAATGAGCTAAAATATCCATAAAGTTAACCCACTTCTAGAAAGACTGACAAAGGGACAAAAGAGATAAAAGGCAAAGATAACATCGGTGAAACAGGGAACTCAAAGCAGGCACCACGGACACTGAAAGGATAGAAGGGGAGCACTGGCCAAGCATGGTGGTTCATGCCTGTAGTCCCAGCTTCTCAGGAGGCTGAGACAGAAGGATCTCTTATGCCCAGAATCTGAGGTTGCTATGAGCTATGATGCCATAAAACTCTAGCCTGGGCAAAAAAGAGTGAGACTCTGTCCCCAAAACAGAAAAAGGAATAGTATTTTAAAACTTTACATATTGAGAATTATTTTTTAAATGAGTGCTATGCAAGCATTTATTTATATTTCTATTTTATGTGTAACTCTTCTAAAAGTTACAAAATAAGTTATTTATTTTGTATACAGTATATGCTTGAATGCAGTATATGCTTTTAAACCAGGTAAGTTATTAGTCATGTACAGATAATTCCTTTTTTTTTTTTACATATAAATTGTATTTATTTGGTTTCCAATTTTTGCCTTCACAAAATCAAAAAGGCTTAAAATTTCATAACAATAACAATGTTTAAGATAAGGACTAGAAACAAAAACCTCATAAAGAATGAACGAAGATACATGCATTCAGAAAAGAAATCAGACAATTGCTGCAACAAAATATTGAGTAATCATAATAATAATGCAAAAAAGTAACATTCACATTGTCAAGTAAAAGTATGTCTATTATAGAATGCTTTGACTCTGAGGTTCAGTATGAGTCATCAGTTAACTTCTTATTTTTTTGCCAAAGTCTCAAAAAGTAGACAACTAATATTTATAAATCAAGATAAAAGATAATTTCAAAAGACAGATCATGCCAACTCTTAAAGACAACAGAAAAAGGAGAAATACTTCAAAGTCATTCTACTTCATCTGAATACACCTGATATTAAAATTGGAAAAAATATATTATAAAAGGAAATTACAAACATATTTCACTTATAAATGAGGACACAGTATTCTAAACAACATATTAACAAGTTGAATTAAAAATTAATGTTTAAGTAATGTACTTTAGTCAAAATTAAATCCAGTTTATGTGAGAATTAGTCACTATTTTTTTTTCTTGTCCTTACCCTCACCCCCTCCCTCCTTCTGTCTGCTCTCCCCTTCCCCCATGCCCCACCATGTCATTAATTGTCCTCATATCAAAGTTGCATACAGAGAATTCATACTTCTCCATTCCTGTGATGCTTCATAAGAATAATGTGTTCCACCTCCATCCAGGTTAGTACGAATGCTGCAAAATCTCCATTTTTTTAATGACTGAATAGTATTCCATGGTATACATATACCACAGCTTGCCAATCCATTCCTGGGTTGAAGGGCATTTAGGCTATTTCCACATTTTAGCGATTGTAAATTGAGCTGTGATAAATAGTCTAATACAAGTGTCTTTATAATAAAAGGTTTTTTTTTCCTTCTGGATAGATGCCCAGTAATGGAATTGCAGGATCAAACAGGAGGTCTAGGCTGAGTTCTTTGAGTTTTCTCCATACTTCCTTCCAAAAAGGTTGTATTAGTTTGCAGTCCCACCAGCAGTGTAAAAGTGTTCCTTTCTCTCCACAACTGCACCAGCAGCTGCCGTTTTGAGATTTTGTGATATAGGCCATTCTCACTGGGGTTAGATGATATCTCAGGGTGGTTTTAATTTGCATTTCTCTAATAATTAGGGATGGTGAGCATTTTTTCGTGTGTTTGCTAGTCATTCATCTGTCTTCTTTAGAAAAGGTTCTGTTCATCTCTCTTCCCCATTGATGTATGGGATTGTTGGTTTTTTTCTTGTGGATTAATTTAAGTTCTATATAGATACTAGTTATTAAGCTTTTGTCTGATTCAAAATATGCAAATATCCTTTTCCATTGGGTAAGTTGTCTATTTGCTTTGGTTGTTGTCTCCTTGGCTGTACAGAAGCTTTTCAGTTTAATTACATCCCA